CTCATAAAATTCAGTGCTTTGCTCTTGAAAACACTCTCAAAAAAGAAAGTATTATCGAAGAAGGATATTAATAAAAATACTTTCTATTTTAAAACCGAATACTTTTGAAAGTGTGTTCTAATGTAAATTATTTATATAGGCAATTAACATAATTAAATAGACTATTTTTAATTATTGTACAAAATAGAATATTTTGTAGAAATATGGCGCATATTGCGAATTTGGTATTCAAACTTATCATTCAGGTCACTTGACGCGTGATATCATCGTTTTAGGATTGCCATTCCTTCATAACTATTGTGTTACAATAGACAAAAGCAATAAAGTTCACTTTGCATCTATTAAGTATTAATATCTTTTACACGTACGGACTAAGTGATAATTTGTAAATGATAATTGAACTTAATAGCATGTAAAATATGCATAATAATAAACATCAGATGTTAAAGGATGTACGCATTACGAATGACACTAATTCAATTGCATGAAAAGTACTTGAAAAGTTTACTTTTGAAGCACGTCTTTGAGCTTCAATTTATTAGTCTTCTCAATTTATGAGCAAGCTTTCAAGCGAATATTCTGAAATAAAAAAGCTCTACCAGTTAGATCAAACAACAATCAAACAGCGATGTTATTGAATACTTAGTCTTTACTATTCATTTGCATCTGCTAAACTCTCAGATTTGTTCAGCGCAGTCCTGATTAGGCATATATAACACGACCACGTGCAACACCGCGCAATATTTCGTGCGTGCGTCTTAAATTCATTTCATGAAAGGAAGAGAGAGGGCTGAACGAATGCATGAATGAAAGTGGGCGTAAGCGAGTGTGTGTGTATGTGTGTGTAGGACTGTGTGTTTGGTCATCCATCATTCATAAACACAATGTTAAGAGAGTTATTCTTTGCTCGTCTAAACTCAAAGCACCCAGCAAGACTAATCAGCAGAATTTGTGAATATGCGAGTGTGGACCCATGTATGTATCGCTTCTCGACCTATCGACTCTGAGATAGTCACTTGTCAGATAATTGTCTTGCAGAACGTAGCAAGGTTTTAGCTCAGCCAATAGGTCGAGAAGCGATATCTATGGAGAGTCAGACAGTAAATTGAGAATCAAACCTGTAGGGTGTAGGAAATTGGCCAGTAGGTCGAGGAGCAGCACCTGTAGAGAATCAGGCAATGGGTCGAGAAGCATGTCTGTAAGGGATTAGACAGTAGGTCGAGAAGCATTGTCTGAAAGAATTAGGCAGTAGGTCGAGAAGCAATATCTGAAACAGTTAGGCAGTAGGTCGAGAAGCATTATCTGAAAGAATTAGGCAGTAGGTCGAGAAGCAATATCTGAAAGAATTAGGCAGTAGGTCGAGAAGCATTATCTGAAGGAATTAGGCAGTAGGTCGAGAAGCAATATCTGAAAGAATTAGGCAGTAGGTCGAGAAGCAATATCTGTAAAGAATTAGCAAATAGGTCGAGAAGCGATACCCGTAGTAGTTCTTATCAGATTTAATCTCTGGTATGTGACTAATGGGTCACTACGAGATTACTCTATGTTCGAGATCCTAGTAGGTTTGCAGGGGCTTGTTCCTCACCTACAAAAGGGTCGACCTGATATGATACCTACCTCCGGGAACGGCCTATCACCCCAAAGGGTGAGTGTATAACTATGCTATAGTAGCGAAGCAATGTGGTCGGCTTTAGCTTTGTTGGTATGTACTTAAGTTAAAGTTCTGTTTGTTGTTGCGACCAGGTGAAAGCGGAAGACATGAAATGCACTCTAAATTCCGTTGTGAATTCAAACACTATACGACTGTTTAATCTCTTGCACGTAGTAATAAAGATGAGTAATACATTTATCTTCAAGCAGAGATCTGACTTACATGTTGATTTGGTGTGAAAGTCCTCAATGGTGTATAGCATTTTAGGTGCACAAAGACAATCACAGAGAACTTCTACACTGCAGTGAACATGAATATGTAGATTGGTAGAGTAAGGCACTGGCCAAAAGAACTTGCAGTTAGATGACCTCAGTGAGGTTGTGTTGAAAGGATTGTTCTTTGTGCACAAGTTTTAACGAATGCTTTCTTTCTTTTTAGTGATAATATGACGTAAACCTTCTGGACAATACGAATTTCCTTCTAAAGTATTCTGTATTATTTGTTTCTTGTGTGTGGGAGAGTGAATGAAGCATTGCGAAGTGCACTATAAAGTCGAATAATTTGCTAATTCAATGTTGGAGGCCACATGAAAGTGGAAGATTAGTTTTTGACAATCTGCTTCCCATAGAATGAACTTCTTGAGAATTGCCATTGCTATCATTGATGTACCTCAAGGGGCAAAATATCATTGAGGAGAGGAGGTGCGAACCTTCGAGTCTATTTGAGGGTTTCGCAAATAACTTTGTTCTGTTTATTACAATTATTCTATGTAACCAGTGAATTTCATTAATTATGATTCTGCTAGGTAGATCACAAGGAGATAGTAGTAGTGAGAAAATGTGCCTATGTCCTAAAAGCTGCATCAGGTTTGATACAAATTTAATTTGCTAACCGGAAGTAGTTGTGACAATACAAACAAAAAAGGTGTGTTACTGAGTTTGAAAATTGATTTGATGGTAGTGACAATCGATATTTTACTTTAATCTGTATTATTATGTGTTTACGATTCAAGTGTTTAATGCTCATGTCATGATAGGTTTAAAATATAGTTATTCTGATTGCATCTTGAAAAAATTAGTCAAAGTCTCATTTATTTTTTTATCAATCTCATTCATCAATTTTTTTTTTCCACTTATTGTTTACTAAGTTAACCTATTGACAGTTTCAACTATTTGCTTCTGAAATACTGAAATCTCAGCACGACGATATGGCTCCAACGAAATAATGGTACAAAAGGAAATGATTACGACTCTAAACTGAAATTTGGTAGTAAATCTCTAAGTTTTTTACTATGTTATTAGACCAATTATTAACACATATGACTTACCCTATAAATATAAAGGATCCCTCTTTTGATTGTTGTCTCGAGGGAAGTTGGTTGGAAAGAATATTTGCAGCCAAATAATGAACAAGTCATACTTATCGACGCATGGACTGAAACTATTCACTGACTAATTATGAACTATTCACTGACTAATTATGAATTAATGGATTAAAGTTTCTGAAAGTGAAACAAATAAGTTTAAAAATGAAAGAACAACGCAGAATGATACAATAAGCACTGTAGCCAAGTTTAAACGCTCTCTCATATCTGTCAAGTGATACGAACGCAGTAAACTAGAACTGATTAAGTTTGTTAATTCACGCAATGGATGAGTTTCAGAATCGCAATTGCTGTGCATGAAGTTAAAACTTACGGAGAAAAGAGAAAGTAATAAGTTGTATTACTCTATACAAAAACTATATAAAACTATATAAACTATATAAAACTATATAAAATAAATGAAAATAGGCGCCTGCGCTGTAGTTTTTCTG